CCCACAAAGGCACCTTCATCTGTGAAAAGCTGTCCAATTATTGTTGCTGAGCGCAGATATGAGTGGGCGACATCCTGTTTCACCATTTTCTTACAGAATTTCTATGTCCTTCCAGATTTTCTTACAGAATTTATATGTTTTGATTTTTTTACACTTAAGTCTTTAAGCAATTTTGAGTTAATATTAAGACAAAGCCTCCCCTGCCCCGTTTTTTAATGGATAGACTTTCCCCACTGATTTGAACTACCCTTCTTATCATATATTATAGTCACACACATTGGGATACATTTCTGGATTCTCAGCTCATTTCTACTGATTTTGTTTGTTTGTTCCTAACCTAATCCCAATTTTATTTGCCTTCAATATCTTCTCAGGTAAGCACTCTCCAGTCTCCTTTTGCATATTTTTCTTGGCTATTGGTATTTAGTATTCATTCTTCCAGATAAACTTTAAGAATCAAGGTCTCAGATGGGGGTACATGTCTAGCTCACTCTGAATCACATGCCCAGGATAAGAAGTCAGTCTGCTTGTTTCTTTTCTAACCATCAAACACTAAAGGTCTCTAAAGACCCAGAGGGTCTCAGACTCTCACAACTCTCTTGTAAGAGATAGTAAGGTGGTTACTTTCCATGCCAAGAAGATAATTTATACTCCTGGGGTGAACAAAAGAACATCTATGACTAGAGCAGTGGAAAAGAAAAAAACACATTTTTAATCTCTGCTGTATCATATTAAGGAAGTTGGACTTTATTCAACTTGTAGGTATTTAGTTAGCCATTTGAAAGTTTTAGGTGCAAGAGTCACAAGATTAGTTTGGCAGCAGTGAGGAAGAATGAATAGAAGGAAAATAAACAGGAGGCCCAATTAAAGTGCTACTGCAACAGTCCAGGCAAAGATGACAAAGACCTGAAATAAGGCAACTGCCAGGGCGTAGAGAGAGGAGGACAGATTTGAAGGCCATTTAGCAGGTAGAATCAACAGGATGAGTGATTGGTTTGATGTTATCCAGAATGACTGCCTGATTTCTAGCCTAGATGGTAGAATTAATGACGATACAGATAAATGCCATAAAACAGAGGAGGAGGAGTAGACTTAGATGATAGTGTAGATAATGAGCTTATTTTGGGGCACAGTGAGTTTGAAAGTCTGTGAGACATTCAACTGGCAATACTTGGTTGACATGAAGAGTATATTGAATTTAGAGCTAAAGGGAGAGCAAGATGGACAAGCGATCTTGAGAATAATCAGCATATATGTGGTAGTAAAAACAATGAGGAGGAAAGCTGAGGATGGAACAGTGAAGGGCACCGACATTTACCAGAAGAGGGGAGTGGAGCCAGCAAAGGTTTTTGAGAACAATCCACTTAAGAAGCAGAAAGTGGTAGCTCAGAAGACCAGAGAGAAGAGCTTCAAGAAGGAGGAAGTGGTCGATTGTGCTGACAGCAGCATAGAGGTCTCAGAAGCATCCAGCAGATTTGGCAGTTCCCAAATGATGAACTTGGCGAAAGTAGTTTCAGTTGAGTGCAGTGAGAGAAAGTCGGTTTGTAATTTTAGAGTGAAGTCAAAAAGTGAGAGAATGCCCCAGATGACTTCCCTTCGTCCAGATCCACGCTCTACCCTTCACCACTCTGCCATCTGTCCCAGATATATGCTAACATCAATAAGTTTCCATGACTGTGTTGAGTTTGGTCAATGGTGAGCCTTGGGAGGAGATTGAAGGGAAGGAGAGTGAGGGGGAGATAACTCCACCTCCCTGGACTCCCCCAACTCCCTGCTCATGGGGTCTGCTGCATTCACTCAACCAAAGTTCACGATCTTCTCCAGCTGGGTTCAGGTAACTACTTCTCCTGCCTCCTCTGGGCCCCAGAGTGGAAATACCTCTGCTTTGCTAGTCTTAGTGTTTCCTTCCACCCTTTGTGTTTCTTTACATCCTGCCCACACCTTTGTAAATAGTCCTTTATTAAACCTTCCTTGAATTATCCAAATTTGAGAATATCATTTGTGTCCTGGTGGAACCCTGAAAGATGCAAGAGGGTGGGGGACCTTGGCTGGGAAGAGTAGAGAGATAGAAATACTCAAAGACAAGTGAGGTTTCATTGCAGAATTTATTTTTTAAGTTAGAGAACCTTGGGTATACCGACAAGCTCATGGAGTTTTAACAGCCGGGGCCTATTTCAAAGGTGTAATCTGATAGGAAAGAAGAAGTAGGCAGAGAGCTCTTTGCTTGCCTCTGGAGTTGATGACAAGTGGCCCCACCAGTGTTGCTCAAGATATTCTGGAACCTGTGCTTCCAGTTTGACCAAGACAATCCATTTGCCAGGTTTGCTCATGGTTGTGTTGGCAAGTATTGGTCTGAGCAATGAACTGATGGGAAAGACACAAAGGCTGAAAAAGGAGAAAAAACAAAGGTTGGGACCTCAACAAACCCAGGCACCCCTCACTGTACCAAGACAGCCAGACAGTAAAGTCGGTGTTTTCTGAACTTTGCAGGCCCCATGTGACCCCGCCTTGCTCACTTCGCTCACCTTGCAGTCTCCTCTTTTGCAGGTCGCTGATTCCATCTCTGCCCCGAGGGCCTCCTTTCTCTTTCTCAAATAACAATAAGCTCTGTTCTGCCCTTGAGCTTGAATTCTGACCTTTCCACTGCCTGCAACCTGGCACTCTCCCCAGGTCTTATCCTGGTTAACTCCCTCCTATGATCAGAGCTCATCTTCAAAGTCACTTCCTCAGCAGGCCGATCACCCCAGTCCCTTTGGTCCCCACCCCTCACCCATTTCAGGGAATCCCCTAGACTCCTCTTTCAAAGCAGTAACCATGTCTTAAATTTTATGGAGGTGGAGAATTTTATTCAGAAAGTCAAGTAGGTTTTCTTACATGCCTTTTGCTTTTGTTTATTTTTACATCTATGTCTTGAATCATTTGGAATTTATTTTTGTACATTGCATAGGATGGGGGCTCTTTAACAGTCTAAACATGTTGGCACTTTGTTGGAACCTTGTCTTCCTTTTACTCATTCTTTCAATAAGCGTTTAATGGCTAATGACCTCATACTACACCCTTTATTGCCAGAAAAAATAAAAAGAGAATATCCTTATCACAAAGGATACAAAGAGAATAATGCCAGAGTTTCTGGGCCCTAGACCTGGAGAGGATCTCAGTGTGCTTGGGGAAGTAGATCTGTGAATGGAGAAATGAATTGCTTTAGTGCTGCAGGACAGTTATAAGCTTCTGGAACTCTGGTGAATAATGCATTTCTATTCATCTGAGTCTCTTACTGTTTGTAACATGTGTCTTACCCACTGAAATCATTTAATGAGTACTTTAACAACTAACCTGAGTGAAGTTTTCACTTCTCGGAAGTTCCAAATGCATCTTCAGTTACTTCCCGAATTTCTCCACCAGGATGCCCCACAAGCATTTCCAACTCAAGACACCCTAAACAGAATTCTTTCCTCCAAAACCTGGTCCTTCTTCACTCTTCACCTCAGTTGTTTGAGATGGAAAGCTCGGATCATTCTCAATGTCACCCTCTCCCCAGACCCACATCCAACAGGTCACCAAGTCCTGTCCAGTCTAAGTCATAAATACTTTGTGATTCGTTCTCTTATTTCCACCGTCTTGGGTCAAGCCTTCACTATCAATTCCCTGAACTGGTTTTTAAAAAACTTCAGTAGATCTCTCTATCTTTTCTCTCTTTTCTCTGCAATCTTCTGACTTTCACCCCAGTCTCATTTCTGAAATACAAGTCTGACTCTATCACTCTGTATTTGTAATTCTTTCATGTTCTCAGATGTTTTTAGGGAAAATTCAACATTTTTGGACACATGGTTCAATAGGACTGCCTCAATCTGGCTATAGATATATCTATCTAAGACAAATGATCTAAAATACAGAAAAAGTTATACCCATAAAATTGCTCATTGAGTACTGTACTAGTCTTCTACTGCTGTTATAATAAATTACTGCAAACTTAGAATTTTGTGCCTTAAAACAACACAAAGGGAAGATGGTTAGATCCCTGGACTTTGTAACTCTGGATTTATTTTTGTGTAGTAAATAACCTCTATCTGCTTAAGTCACGGTGCATCGGGTTTTCTATTATGTATTGCCAAATGCAGTTTTAGTTTATAAAAGTACTTCTATAGTTAAAGAAAAAAAATAATCTGATTCTAAACTATATTTCCCCAAATCTTCCTAACCGCAACTCACTCCTTTCTCTGTTTAGCAAACGCCTATGCATTCTTCAAAACCCAGCTCAAATGGTACACCCTGACAAAGTCTTTCCCAAGCTTTCCCTCAAACAGATTAATCTTCGTTGTTCCACGGCATATTGTCCAAGCTGCTATGATAGCACTTTTACACTATGTTGTATTTGTCAGCTTTCTTAACTATCCCCTCTACTGAACTACAAGCACCATATGAGAAACCAAAGCGTTGAAATCACATTTTGTATTTGTTTGCTTCAAAGCTGACACAGCACTCAGTATGTAGTAGGTACACAATAAATATTTTACAAATAAGTAAACACAAGATTAAAAAACAATGTATATATGTTTAAACCAAATACCTTCTTTTCTAGCTTAACTCTTGTCTTCTCTCCATGTTGGTGCATTTGTTTTTTACTGGTAAAAGAATAATTGAGGGGCTGAAAGTTAGGGCATGTGTATTAGTACTTGGATCATTTTAATCAAGATGCAAGTGAGGAAATTTGAAGACATATTTGACTCAAAGTAGGAAAAAACTGGAGAAGCATAGGCAGTAATTTAGAGCAGAAATTCAGAATTAAGAACAAGAATCCTTCAATCAGGACTTTTCTGGTGGTCAGAGATTAAGACTTCACCTTTTAATCCTGGGGATGTAGGTTTGATCCCTGGTCAGGGAGTTAAGATCCCATGTGCTTCACGGCCAGAAAACCAAATCATAAAACAGAAACAGTATTGTAACAAAAATTAATAAAGACTTTTAAAATGATCCACATCAAAAAAAATCTTAAAAAAAAAAATCTCTCAATCACTACCATCCTAAATCATGATCTGCCAAAAAGCAGTGTGGCTTTAGCAGACCTGGCCTAGATTCACAGGGCCAAGGGTTTATCTCCCAGCTCTACTTACCACCTAGGTAGATGTGGAGGCAGGTCACTTAACACCCACATTCCTCAGAGACAGCTTCTTCCTCTGAGAAAGGTGACTAGAAACACCTGTTCACCTAGCTCACAGAATAGTGGTGAAGATTAGCAAGGATCAGACCTGTGCATAAGATTTGGTACAACACCCACTTCAAATGTGAATCATGTAGCTTTACTATAGGTAGGAGAAAATAAATGTTTGGTGAATAATTGAATGAATGAAAAAAATCAGCCCAGTTTGTGGGTGATTTTACTTAAACCCAAGATTAAATGTAGGAATGACTTCATCTTTAAGGTTCGTATAATACATAACCAACATATATGACATCATCAATACAAAGAAAGCTCTTTTCCCCCAATGAATTGCCGATCCTTAGACTTTCTTTATGTGGTGCAAAATGTTTTTATTCCATCGTTTGAAATACAGCTTGAAATGCACCAGAGAAATGAGAAAGGTAACATGGAGACTTAAATTAACACTAAGGAATATATGACTATTTTCCTTTTTTTAAAAGCATGTTCTAGTAGGGGCTAAGGGGGGACTCAATTTCTTTTGTTTTGCTTTAAATTTTAAACAGAATGCGGTATGCTTTGTAAATGCACTGCTGAAGGAGAGAATAATTGTGTGATCTAGAAGCCACCTACCACTCTGGTAGGGTATAACAGTGACCCTTCTCTATTTCCTCCATTGTCTTGCCCTTGAAATTTTGAACCTCCTGCATAATTTAAACTGACAGATATAATATTGATCTGAAGTTAAAAATAAAAAGTAAAGACAACATAACCCGTAATTTATATATATTTGTGTATCTGTGTGTAAATATGGATATAGATGTTTCTGATTTGGAAGAGCATTAGAGTAGATCACAGGGACTTATACTGATTTATTCCCACATATCTAATGCTCACTAATCTGCTCTTGCTATGATCAAAATAGTCATCACAAACACCATAATGAAAAAAACCCACATGAAAAATCGGTCTATGACTTTTGCAACCTTTTTCCATTCACTCCCCTTGGAATTGGTGGCCTTGTGGTCTTTGAGGCACTTGGCAATGTATTCAATATTCCTCGTCAACACTCGGTACCGGGCACAGTAACTGTCACCATCCTCCAGGTTCTCACCCTGGTACCTCAAGTCATTCTTTAAGAGTTTGTTCATTTCCTTCTTTCTGGAAGGGCCTTTATTTCTGGATGTTTTCAGGTTAGGCTCTGGAAGTTTGTCATAAACCTTTGTGAGACGGCCTCTCTCCCTGTCTTGGTGGGGGCTGAGGCAGCTCTCACCCACGTCGTAGACAAACAAGATCCTGGACATGTATTTCAGGATGACCACCCGGGCCCAGGGCGGCACTGGCCGGGCCTCGGCCCCGCAGAAGTGGATATTCATCACCATGATGGTCAGCGCAGTGGAGGCTGTGACCAAGGCCATTGTGGCTATGTAGTATTTCCCTGGAAAACAACGCAACCCAGTTAGCTTAAAACTGTCTTCAAGGGACTTCGCTGGTGGTTCTGCAGTTAAGAATCCATCTAGCAATGCAGGGGATGTGGTTTTGACCCCTGGCTGGGGAACTAAGATTCCACATTCAGGGAAGAAGCTCAGGTCACGGACTTCAATTAGAGAATCCGTGTGCTTCAATGAAATATCCCACGTGCCACAGCTAAGACCTGAAGCAGCCAAATAAATAAATATCTATTTAGGGAGAAAAACTGTCTTCATATTTGACTCACGAAGAAACAACTGGAAGTTGTACACATTAATGGCGACTAGTATAGACTTTTGAATAAAACTGGGTTCAAATCTCAGCTCTGCCATTCAGTAGGCTGGTGACCTACAGCAAGTTACATAATTCCGGTAAGCCTCAGCTTTCTTCTCTCTGTAGACTGTACTATTCGTATCTAATTCACAAGAGTATGGTGAAACTTAATTGAAAAAACACAGGAAAAGTTTTCAGCATGTCCACTTCCTTGAGTTAAAAGGTTAATTTTTGCTCTCACTATGTGAAAAACTTCTACATTCAGCAAAATAAATAAACCATGAATGATCTTAGTCAGTTCTCAGAATTGTTTTTAAACCTTGTTAATATGGAATCTCACTCCTACTGGAAAAGAAAGGAGATATTGTGTCCCTATTAGTCTTTAATACGTAATTGCAAAAAGCAAATAGTCATGAAAAAGGAAAATTAAGGAAGGAAACAATAAAGATAAGTGAACAAATTTCAGAAATAGAGAACAAAGAACCTAAAAGATGAACAAAAACAAGTTATTTGAAAAGATCTATAAAACTGATAAACATTTGATAAGGCCATTCATGGAATAGTGGCAGGAGAGAGAAAAAGGATGCAATAGAAAAAATAAAAAGATAGAAATTTAGAAAACAGTAAAATAACATTACAAATAGCCGTATGATAATACATTCAAAAACCTAGATGAAATTTCTATAAATATGTGTGTTAGTCGCTCAGTCATGACTGACACTTGTGACCCCAGGGATTGTAGCCCTCCAGTCTCTTTCATTCATAGGATTTTCCAGGCAAGAATACTAGAGTGGGTTGCCATTTCCTTCTCCAGGGGATCTTCCCAACCCAGGGCTCAAACCTGGGTCTCCCACATTGCAGGCAGACTCTTTACCATCTAGAAGATCTAAGAGGAAAGAATGCTTGAATAGAAATAGGAATTAAATACCTCTACCCACCCATCTTCCAAAAAGCTCTAGAACCAAAAGGTTTTACAGGTGAGTTTCATTGAATTTTTAAGGAACAGATAACTCATATCTTAATGCAAGTTGTTTCAAAAATAGAAAAGAGGGAATACTGCCTAACTGGTTCATTTTATGAAATAAATTTAGCCTTGATTCTAAAAGAAGCAAGAAAGGAAATTTTAAGGCCATTTCATTTATAGATACATTTGAGAAACTCCTATAAAAATCACTGGATAATTAAATCCTATGGTGTCTTTAATTGATAACTCATCACGATAAATGATTTAGTTCAACAACAGAAAACTGTAATTCACAACACTAATGGAGGAAAAGAAAAAACTCACATGATTATCTTAACAGATGAAAATAATACATTTAATAATGCTCATCATCTGTTTATTATTTGTTAAAAGCTCTGAGTAAACTAAAAATAAAATCCTTCTTAGCATTGTAAAGGCTATGGGTCAAAAGCCTGGATCAAATGTTATACTTAATGCAGGAAATGTACATACGTTTCTTAAAACTGGAACTCTATTTCATAGGTGCTACAAATAACACATTGTGGCTATTAAAAACTCTCAAGAAAGATCTGTGTGCAACCTTCCTAAAAAGATACATTTCATATTATCACGGAGACAGGAAAAGTAATGCTTGTAAAATTCATGAGACATGTTCTGAGACATCTTTCTTCAGAAACTGAGCCAGCTTGCTGTTGAATGTCGCTGGTAAAGCAGAGAGCGGGATTTGCTTATTGATCCTGCCTCAAACAGGGTTATGATTGATGTCATCACTGTCAATCATTTCTGCCTTAGGAGAAGTAATGAAAGAACCAATACACTGCTTCTGCTTTATTAGTGGTGATGAGAAAGGAGAGAGCTTTCTGTCTCTATTTCTCAAAAAGATGTGCATGAGTGTGAGTGCAAGTGTGTGTGTTTGTGTGTGTGTGTGTGTGTGTGTGTGTGTGTGTGTGAGTGTGAGTGTGTGTATGTGGCTTGCTTGGAGAAACATAACAAGGAAGAAATCTCCTAACAGAGAAACCAATGTAATAACATCTGAATGTTATTCAGATGGGTAATACTACATTCGGGAGAGAAAAGGCAGTATAATATCTCTTTTGTATTGGTCACTAAGTCTCTTGGTGTTCTGAAATTTCCCCCCGCTGATTGCTTTACAGAACTAAAAACTAGAGCTAGCTTCTGATTCTTCAAAGCATCTATCACACCAGAAGTCACTGAGGCAGAGGTGGTGGATCTGGGTGTTACCCTTGGCGGCAGGAAGTAGGCATTAAAGGTATTAGGAGGGGGTCTCACAACAAGAGAGAGAAAGGAAAAGGAAGGCAGTGACGGCAGCCACAGTCTACAGTTCTGCCCTCAGAGGAACATTTCACTATTGCAGATGTTTGAAATGTGATCTACTTTAGAACCACCTCAGACTCCCAAATCTTGTCCAAGACTGCTTTTTAAAAAAACCTCTTTTGCTGTGAGAACCTGTATTTTTTTCTTTTTCTTTCCTTTGGCTAAACCTCATGGTGTGTGGAACTTTCCTGACCAGGGATCGAACCTGCACCCCTGCAGTAGAAGCACAGAGTCTTAACCACTGGACCACCAGTTACCTGTATTTTTAACAGTCTCTCTCACACCTATTATACCCAGTAAAGGTTGAGAATTGTTCTATCAAGGGTAGATGGCAGGCTTAAAAATCTAGCTCATCATTTCTATCATGTATACCATTTTTTCCAAAGAAGAAACCCCTTGTGATGTGATAAGATACTGACAGTCACTGTTTGTTCAGTCCTCACCATATGCCAGGCTCTGTGCTAAGCAACGACACAGTGAGATAACAATTACACAAATTTTGAAGATGATGAAGTAGAGACTCAAAGATTAAGTAAATTGCTTAAGGTTGGTCAAGGAAGGAACGGTAAAGTCAGAGTTCAAATGCAGATTTCTTTGACTTCAATATCAGGGCCTTAGCCTAAAAGCCAGTGGTTTTTTGACTTGAACAAAAAGCTCATCAGAATCACCCAGAAAGCTTGTGAAAACAGTTTGCAGGCTTCACCCCCACCCTGGTCAGCAGGTCTAGGGTGGGCCAACTCGAGGCTGATGCTGTGGGCCCAGGACCATGCTTCAAGGACCACCGCTCTAAACCACACGGCTCTCACTCCTCTTTGGGGTAAACCTGGAGACCTCGAGACCAGCCTTGTCTTGAACAGTCACATCCCTGTTCAGAGATGCCAACTGAAGACACTACAGGAGCCTGTGTTGAGTTTGTAGTTGACTTAATTGTTATGAGTTTAAAGGCACTGATACAGCCGCAGTCACCAGAAAGCTGACTCAACAGTGTAAGAGACTTGAACTCACCGATCAGAGGGACGTTTTCGGAGGCTGGCATGATCTCTGCCACCATGAGCTGAAATACAGTCATGGCCAACAGTATGGTCACTCCCAGGGAGACCTTTTCCCCAGAGGCTGCTGGGAGATAGAAACTCAAGGGAGCCAGAAAAGATATGAGGATGCATGGGATGAGGAGGTTGACGATGTAAAAGGAGGACCTCCTCTTCAGAAGGAGAGTGAATGTCACATCCGGGTAAGGCTCTGAGCAGCAGCCGTAGGAGATCACGTTCTTCACAGCAGGCATGCCGTGCACCTCCCACTCCACGTCTTCAATGAAGTCGGAGAGGTCTCCACTGTCCAGGGCGTTGAATATGTCCACCTGATTGCCATTGTAGGTCCAGGAGCCAAAGGTCAGGTTGCACTGCTGATTATCAAAGGGGAAGTAGGTGACGTCCACCACACAGGAGCTTTTGGTGATGGCTGGTGCATCCCAGGTGATCAGCCCATCATACCGCAGGACCACATTGGTGTTCACGGGCTCAGAAGATTCATCGTCAGCCCTGGAGGTCAGAGGAGGAAAATAAGAGCTGCTTGCCAGGGCAACTCACTAAGTTCTTTAACCTAGACAGCTCACCATCACTTCGGTGTCTTTGGCAATGGACCACCATTCTTGTCACCCTGGCTTGAAAGTCCAAAATCAACTCTGATTTGCCCTTCTTCTCCATCTCCTATAACTAGTTAGGGCCAAGTTCTCTTGGATTCTTCCTCTAAAGCATCTCTGCCAGACTTTCTTAGTGGCCCAGTGGTTAAGAATCCACCTGCCAAGGCAGGGGACGCGTGTTCAATCCCTGGACTGGGAAGATCCCACAAGCTACGAGGCAACTAAGCCCGTGCTCCACAACAGAAGCCACCGCAATGAGAAGCCAGCGCACCCCAGCGAAGAGTAGACCCCGCTCACCGCAACAGAGAGCACGCGCGCGGCCCAGTGCAACCAAAATTAAACAAATACGCAGCTCTGCCTATTATTCCTTCTTCTCCGTTCCTGATGCCACTCTCTCAGTTCAGGTATAATGATTCAAACACCCAGACAAAAAGTAAACGAGGCTAACATCTGACAGAGAGGCTCTGCCTAAATGATTCTGTTAACTTTGGGCACAAGAATATTAAAGTAGTTCTTTGTTGCTGTTGGAAGAATTTTACATGCTTATTGTAACACATCTGAAAAGCACAGAGGAAAAAATTATTCATCTATAAAAGATAATAATTTACTCTAGATATATCTTGTTTTTGCTTTATCAACATTTATGGCTGGCATTTGGGGGGGGGGTACAAAATTTCTATTTCGCTTTGGGGAATGACTCTTTCTCCACCACCATTGTAAGGCAGATGAAATGATGATCAAGGTACCCTAGGCTCCCCTGGCCAGGGGCTGGCTTGTGACCTGAGGTAGGTCCAACTGATTCACACTCCCTGGAGTTTAAATGTTAAGCAGAGTGACCCAAAGACCAAAAAGAGTCAATCTGGTAATGGATTCCTAGAAAAATCAATTAATTAAATTTTTTTAAAAAATTCAATAGCCCCTTGTCTTGAAGATGGAGTATTCCTAGTCTGTCCTTTCCAAGGCCTTATCAGTGACTATTCTCCTTTAATTTAGTGAGCTGTAGCATGTCCTTCCTACAAATTCCTTTTTTGACAAGATAGACAAAGTCAGTTTTCAGTGCTTTCCGCTTTAACTGATACATTTCTGTTGATATTTAGTGCATATTTTTCTGAGTGTTTCTTACAATTTTTTCCCTATAAATTGTATTATGGCTAAATGTAATGTGATACGCTGGATTAGATCCTGAAACAGAAAACAGGACATGAGTGGAAAAGCTGATGAAGTCCAAATAACAGCTGTAGTTTAGTTGTGTGCTCAGTCGTTCTGTCGTGTCCAACTCATTGCAACCCCATGGATTGTGATCCACCAGGCTCCTCTGCCCACAGAATTCTCCAGTCAAGAATACTGGAGTGGGTTGCCATTTCTTATAACAGGGGATCTTCCTGACCCAGAGATCAAACATGCATATCTTGTGTCTCCTGCATTGACTGGCAGATTCTTTACCACTAGCACCATTAATAGTATTATATTAGTTTTGGCATATGTACTATGGTTATGTAAGACATGATGTTAAGGAAAACTGCGTGAAAAGTATACAGGAACTCTGTACCATCTTTGAAACTTTTCAGTAAAATTATCTTGAAATAAAAAAGTTAGTTTACCAAAAACAAGACTGAGACAATTTTAAAATGTAGGTGGTCATCTGTCCATAATCTTCTGCAACATTATTTTCATGGGTAAATGATATTCAATTATACTCCTTGTCAGAGATGTGCCATAGTAATTTAACCAGCTCACTGATGTTCAACATTATGGTTGCTTCTATTTTTTACATTTACAAACAATGCAACAGTGAACATCCCTGTCATCAAGCTGTTGCATTTATCCACTGACTCTTTCCTTAGGTTAAACTGCTAGAAGATGATGTATTAGATCTAAGAACTGACATGTTTTACAAGGTTTTTCCTGCTTATTAACCTTTAGGTACCACAATACAACGGTCTGATTGTGTCCACTCTAATCAAAGTATTGCAGCTGAATTGTGGTGCTCAATTATTAATGCAAGTCTAAAGAGGGGATCTTTAATGTGGGTCTTGTGAAGACAACAAAATGGCATTTTTGAAAATGCAAGAACCTACCCTCTGTAAAAATAAAAAGTATACAAAATTAGCTATCCCAGAATTGAGAACTGGAGCATCACTCACCTATCCTACCTTGGTATAAGAGATCTAGGAGTCAGAGAGAATATATCTGGAGCTAGAAAATTCTATTAGTCATGGTCCTTGCAGGAAATGGATGGCACATTCAAATTAGATGGCTTGAGGAGGATTTAATAAAAGGACTATCTACTAAGATAAGTATAGGGCAACCACTCTAGGACTAGTAACAGCAGAGTTATCACCATTCCTGGGCCTGGAGAAATGAAGGGAAGGTGCAATTACCAATGCTGGAGGGAAGAGAGGCAGAAGTGGGTCACCACGACAGGAGACCTGCTGCTGCTGCTAAGTCACGGCAGCTGTGTCTGACTCTGTGCGACCCCATAGACGGCAGCCCACCAGGCTCCTCTGTCCCTGGGAGTCTCCAGGCAAGAACACCGGAGTGGGGTGCCATTTCCTTCTCCAATGCATGTATGCATGATAAGTCACTTCTGTCATGTCCGACTCTGTGCGACTCTATGGACAGCAGCCCACCAGGCTCCTTTGTCCATGGGATTCTCCAGGCAAGAACACTGGAGTGGGGTGCCATTTCCTTCTCCAATGCATGTATGCATGCTATGTTGCTTCTGTCATGTCCGACTCTGTGCGACTCTATGGACAGCAGCCCACCAGGCTCCTCTGTCCACAGGATTCTCCAGGCAAGAACACTGGAGTGGGGTGCCATTTCCTTCTCCGATAGGAGACATACCTTCTGTCAAAGGACACAGCCAGCGAAAGATAATAACTATAGGAAGGGAGCAAGAGAATACATGCTCCAACCTTACTCTCTTTTCTCCCTCAACTGCTCACAATTTTTCTCATTGGGCCAACCCAACCAGAAGTCAGAGGGCAAAGGAGCCCACTGTCTGAAAACATCACCCCAGCTACTCAGGACGAGTTTGAAGACATTACTATTAATTGCTTCATGACCAGTACTTTGTTTTATTTCCCTGGTTTCTTGATCACATTATTTCACAGCTCAGCACTTGCAGTGGTTTCCTATTGCCCACCAACGCTTCCAGATCTCCTTGAGCAGTTCTATAAGGGCTTAGAGGGGTTTTGATAGCTCTATCCCTGACCTTCTTTCCAGGCTTTAAACTTGCCTTTACAATCTCTTTGTTGGCCGTCTCCATGTGAATGTTCCTTTGGCCTCCCAAACTGAACAGGTCTCACAATAAATCCTTACCTTTTTCTCCAAACCTGTTCCTCTTCTCCCTCCTTTACTACCAATCTCATCTTTTTTTTTTTTTTTAAAGAGTTTTACCGATTTGCATACAATAAACTGCATATGTTTAAAGTGTAAAATTTGATCAAATTTGACACAGGCATATCCAATCTCAGTTGAAAGTTTTCCTACCCTTTCCATCATCTAAGCTACATAAGCAGAACTTAAAGCTAAATTATAGACAAATCTATTTTCAACAGGGTACTCAATTTCTCATTAGGTCTAAAATCCAAGTGTTAAACCTGTTCATTAAAATCCAACCATTAAAACTATCTCATAATAAACACACATCTGAAATTTCTGTAATCCACTCTTTACCTAATTTTAAAATGTCAGAAATCCTCGCAGTCTCTTACACCAACCATTATATTGGCCATAGACCTATACTAAACAACCCCACCAGGACTTTGAGCCCAGTTTATTTATTCCTTTACTCAACTGCTAATAGCCAATATCTGCTTGAGTCATTATATTGTTATAGAGCTCACTACCTCTTAGGAAAACTCATTATTCAAATTATTAGTTTTTCTTTTAGCTGAATTAAAATGCAATTTTAAAACCCTTTAACTTCTACTCATTGTTTTGTCTTCTGGAGGAATTTTCTCTTTTCCCTCCACCTTATTTTCTCTTCGATTTTGCCTATGATAGCCATCAAGTCTTTCTAAGGACCTCTCTCTTTCTAAATAAGCATCAATAAATTCAACTGCTCCTCACATGAAATAGCTTCCAGGCACATCACCATCCTGATCACTCCCCAGATAATCTAACCCATGGACTCAGGCACCAGTGGTGAATCTAGATGTTCAGCATCTTCCTGCCCAAACTCTCTTTATCATACACGACTGGATCACCTGTCTTACACCCCTCTTTATTCTCCCTACCACCACTCAGGAAGCTCATTCTGGGGTCTACAAGGTTCGGTACCGGTTTCTGAGAAGAACTGATTATTATATCCGAGATCAGAAGATTCTACAGGTCCAGGAATTCAGCTAGAAGGACCAGGGTCAGGGTAACAGCTATCACCGGGGTCCCTCCTCTGCCTGATACTCTAACCCTCTTCCATTCTCATTTCAGCTGCTCAAAGGGATGCAAATGACATCCAATCACAGCTACGTTTAGGGTTTCCTCTACATATTGATAGTAAAACTCTGATGTTACTGAGAAGGAGAATACACAGGAGAAAAGAGGATTCAAAACAGAACTGTCCATAAGAGGAGAGCAAAGAAGACTAGAGTTAACCCAGAGGAACAGAAAAGAACTGATGAATAAGTATAGTAGGAAAGGTCTGTGTGGAAAAGTGTGGGGACCAGAACTCACACATTTCAAGGACGCCAGTGATCTGGGCAGGGAGGGGAAGGATAGAGACTGGGGACAAAATTTACCAAAGCCACCACGGGTTTCTGGGAGCTCACAAGTGCATAACTGGCTTCTCTGATAAAGGAGGTCTGGGGCAGGCTTAACTTAGGTCACCACGTCAGCTCGCAAAGAAGCCTTTCAGTAAGAGCTGGTCACTGCTTCCGTCAATCAAGCAAGATGAAAAGGAGAACCAGCATTTTGTTTTTTTCAGGGAGAAATCTGAACTTACAGAATGCTGTGAGTGTTCTACGTAAAGTGTCTCCTCTGATTATTCTCCAGGAGGACATGATGGACATCCTGCCTCATTCTCTTGCCTTCTATGTATGTGTATGTGTGTGTGTGCTGTGTGTGTGGGGGGGGGTGGGGGGAGGGCAGGGTGTGAACCATGGTAATAAAGCACCAGTACTTGGAGAAGGAAATGGCAAGGCACCCCCGTATTCTCGCCTGGAGAATCCCATGGACAGAGGAACCTAGTGGGTTATAGCCCATGGGGTTGCAGAGTCAGACATGACTGAAAGAGACTTAGCACTGGATGTCATCTTGCTTAGGAAGGCATACAGAAGACACCTCTGGCCACTCAGAGTGGGGAATGGTCAGCAGGATCGGAAGTATGATTCACAAGGTTGTGACCCTTGGACAAGCTGAGCAGGGACTAAGGCTAAAATACAGGCTGCAACCGACCAGTGTGGCTTCCTAAAGGGAAACTCACACCCAGTAGAAGGCTGAGTTCCCAGGAGAGTCCCCCTCTCCAGTCGCTCCTCATTCATCTCTCTCTGCTCAAAGAGCAGAAATTGTAGCAAACTAGCAAAATTAGCAAAATTTTCCTAACTCTGAGAAACTTGAGTTCCAGGATAAAAAGAGAGAGCCCCTTTGACAATAGGTGGAGCAGCTGACCCTGAGTTGTGACAGAGTGATCTGGTTCATTCTCAAAGTGCTGTCCGTGGGCCAGCAGCACTACCATCTGGAGCTCATAGAAATATAGAAGGTCCAACTCTACCCCAGACCTGCTGAATGAGAATCTGTATTTTAGCAGGCTCCTCAGGTGATTCATGCACACTTTACAATTTGAGAAACTTAAGTTTTACCTGCCCACTCACTAAGACCCCTTGCTCTCAGACCAGGAAAAGGCCAACTGGTGATCTTATGATCCAGTTCATCTTCCACTCTATACAAAGTCCAAAATCCATGGGCCAGCTTCTAGCTGGTCCATTCTGATTTAATATTAATGTATTCAGTCACTCAGTTGTGCCTGATTCTTTGTGACCCCATGGACTGTAGCCCGCCAGGCTCCTCTGTCCATGGAATTTTCCAGGCAAGAATGCTGGAGAGGGTTGCCATTTCCTACTCTAGGGGAACTTCCCAACCCAGGAATTGAACCCTGTCTCTTGCATCTCCTGCACCGGCAGGCAGATTTACCACTGCACTGCCTGGTAAGCCCCCTAATCGTCACAGTATCATGTATTTTCCATATATGATCATAGACAAGGAAGCACCACTGCTATGGGCTGAATTGCATCTGCAAAAAGTTCACATGTTGAATCCTAGCCCCTGGCATGCCAGAACGCGACCTCATTTAGAACAGAGTCATTGCAGATGTAATTAGTAGTTAAAAGTATTTAAAAGAAGAGGTCATATTCTGTGGGATTATGAGTAATTTTTACTTATCTTGGTGCCTTAATTTAGACAACTTTTATCTTTTTTAAACAGTAAATCTATAATTTTTTTGGTGTTAAGAAAAGCACAATAAAATTATCTTTAATTTTTAGAAAAAGACGAGGTCATATTGGTGTAGGGTAGGCATCTAATTCAACATGACTAGTGTCTTCAATGCAAGGGGAAATATGGACACAGACAACACACAGGGAACATGGTACCATGTGAAGAAGAAGGCAGAGATTGGGGTGACGCTTCTACAAGTCAAGGGGCCAAAGATTGCCAGCAACCACCCGAGAATCTAGGACAGAGACATGGAATGTTCCTCACAGCCTCAGAAGGAACTGACCTTGCCAACACCTTTATCTCATACCCAGCCTCCAAAACTGTGAGACAATAGTTCCGGTGGTTTAAGCCACCCAGTTTGTAGTACTTTGTTACAGTAGCCCTAGAGAACAAACATTAGAAATGGAACATGTAATGTGTAACCAACTTTCTTGAGATGTTCTAAGACTGTTAATGTTCATGGAAAGGTTTAGGTGATTTCGTGAAATTAATTTTGTAGAAAGCGTTCCTCCCCTGCAATTCCCTTCTCCCACCAGCTTGCACACAGAGCTGTCTGTTCTCATTTTCTCTCAAATTCCCAGGCAAGACATTCCCTTTAGAAAGCACTGTTAGTTTTATTCAGAAGCGTCAACACTACGTGACTCACCATATCCTTAATCTGAGAAAGTGTAATCTGGAGTGTGACGTTCAGGACTTTATCTGTATCTTCTACTGGACGAAGAGCATTAGAGTAGTCTTCAAAAAGGTCATTAAACAACTTCTGAGCATATTTTCCATCTGCTGGCTCTACAGCTGCTCAAAAAGAGGGATCTGGATCAAGCTTCAGTGTTATGTGTATTTCAAGGCAAAGAGCAACAGACCAAGGACTAGCATTAGGTCTATCATCCCTACCTACCATCCTACCATCCTACCTACCTACCAGCAGCTAGGGACAAGCTCTGGGTCAAGTGGAGTTGTTTCTCTGGCAGGCCTTACAGGATCAGCATGAGACAGTAAGAAGCCAAAATACTTCCTTACAGTTAGAGCATCTGTTCTTTTCCTGGCCCACCCAATGTTCCACCAAAGAAGTGAACCCTGAGCTAAGACCGTTGCACACCCACCAGCCTCTTACCTCTCAGTCTGGAGGCAGCAAAGTAAATCCAGCAAAAGGAGATGCAAGAATGGGGCCAGTTCATCTTTCCCCCTAAGTCTCTATAAGTCCCCAGCGAGGCAGTGCGGTCTTCCACTTCTCCAGCAGCGGGAAGGGTCTGGGCACACAGCTGCCCTGGTTTCTGTCTCCGCACAGCAGATGGGGAGCTCAGACTTGCCAGGCACAAAGCAGGCTTGCCAGGTCCCCTGTCCATCAGTAATCTGAGACTAGCGGCTCCAGCAGGTAAGATACCAGGAGCCCCGGGTGGGTTAGGTCAGGCAGTGCTGCCCTGGGGGAGCTGCCCCAGTTGAGAATCCCCAGCTACCTTCACTAGGAATATCCAGACCAGTCTTTCCAGGGAAGAGAGCTGGGAGCCCAACACGCCCGAGATTCCACCTGTGCAGACCAGGCATCTTCTACACCTGCAGTGAGTAGGCTCAGTCTGAGTTCGGGCTCTAAGAAAAGCTGAACTGACCCATCCGTGGGGTAGCCCATCCAGAAAGGCCCGATGCGCTTTGACTGCCTTTTGAAGCGGGGACGAGAAGCAGTTCCATGATCTTTGAACAGACTGGCACTTGGGTTTCTTCTCTGCCTCTGCTTCTCATCACTCCTTCAGTCGTCCCACTGAGCGCGCACCTTGCTCGGTAACTTGCGTGAGTCTGCGTGTGCGCATGCGTGCGCGCAGGTGGGTGGGGGGCACCCGTGGATGGGAACAGAGCCTTCACTTCCTTCGCAAGCTGCAGCAGTCCTGCGATTTGGACTAGCAGTAGACGACCTAGGTTTGACTGCTAGTCCAAACCCTCCCTCATTCTACACAGCTTTCCTGAACTGGAGACAGGGAAAATAATCCCTCTCTGCTAGAGTTACTGGGGTACTGTATGTAGAAACCGTTTGTAAATTGTAAAGCGCTAAGAGTCGGACACACCTGAGCGACTTTCACTTTCATGTAAATATTAGTCATTTTCACCTCTGATCAGCTTTGCAGATACAGAATTTCTGCATTTACCAAGTCATCCACGGTTTACTAGCACTTAAAAAAAGTTCAAATGCTAAGAATGTATAAGAATGATTCATAACAAATGGTGCTTTGCATTTGGATGCCACTCTATATCCTCTCAGGCATTTCTCATATGTGATCTAATTCTGCTCACACAAACGAATGTCAGTTTCCAGTTGTCATAGTCTGTCCCTTCTCTTGCCTGGGGAAGCTGCCTTGGAAAACTAAATTAAGATCATTCGGTTGCCTGGAATCAGAGCAAGGAAATTGGAGAGGTCTACTTCATCAGGTTACAGCTATCTGATGAGTCAGCCCGTCCCTCTTCGGGAATATATCCTCCGAATGGAACAGACACTCAAGCCGCCAGCTAAGTGTGTTTCTTAATTGCCTGTGCCCTTGTGTTGATTGTGAAGATGTAACTTTCCTGACGCCCTTAGTCTGACTCATTCGTCAGATGACACAGTTCCTGGTGCCCACGCACAGCCTTCCCTTCTAGAAAAAGCCATCCACTCTGGAATCTCAGAAGCTGCAAGTCCTTTTGAAATGGAGTCAAGTGCCTCAATTTCGCATGAGGAAGCTGATGTCTAGAGATGCGAGTGGCTTGCCCTCCAGCAGCCCTTGGCCAGAGTCAGAATCCAGGCCACCCACCCCTGCTCAATGTGCTCCCCACGCTAACTCGGCCTCTTCTTCTCATGGGGAGAGATGCTCTATGTCTTTGATGCCTCATCACTGGGAACGGCCGTGGGAGTAAGTGATCAGTGAACAAACACATGGTGTTAGCTACTGCTCCAGCTGCTTGTAGGCTGCCTCAAAAGTAATCACCTTTGGTAGCCTGATTGCTTTCCATTAACTCAGTTCATTCAGTCGGTCACTTGGAATTCTTTTTAAAAATGGTAAGAGCCCTAAAGGAAATCAGTCCTGAATATTCATTGGAAGGACTGATGTTGAAGCTGAAGCTCCAATACTTTGGCCACCTGATGCGAAGAACTGACTCATTGGAAAAGACCCTGAAGCTGGGAAAAATTGAAGGCAGGAGGAGAAGGGGACGACAGAGCATGAGATGGTTGGATGGCATCACTGACTCAATGGACATGAGTTTGAATAAACTCCGGGAGTTGGTGATGGACAGGGAGGCCTGGCGTGCTGCAGTTCATGGGGTCTCAAAGAGTCGGAGGCGACTAAGCAACTGAACTGACTACCTGAGGCTCATCTGTCAATGTTAACACAAACCACATTAAGCCAATACTTTTGAGGGGGGCAATTCTGCCTTTAAGGGCAAAGATGTTAGTAACTAGAAAGCAAACTCCTCTTAAATTCATTCTAAAAACAATCACTGCGATGAGAAGCCCGTGCACTACCAGGAAAAGTTATCCCTGCTCACCACAACCAGAGAAAGCCCACGCAAAGCAAGGAAGACCCAGCTCAGTCACAAAGAAAGAAAGAAAGAAAATTTTAAACTAAAAAAATAACCACTAGGTGTTTTCCTAGGGACCTACACATATTTACCCAATGACTATGCTTCCATTAGCTCCAAATTACAGAGAGAGTGACAGAGAGGTCTTTAACATAGTGGTCCTATAACTTGTAAGAAACTAGTGGAAGAAGTAATCCATTAAGTTCATCACTTAGAGTTCAATAAGGCTAAAAAGCAAGCAGACATAATTCAGACTGACTTTCTAAAACATACTCTCAGGCAATGAAGATAATCTGAATAAACCACAGCCATCCAGAAATCTGGAACCTCCAGGCTACATCCCATTTCCTGAGAGCCCATTAACTTTGGAATGGTCACATCTGTCAGCATATTAATTCAGGTTCACAGAGCACAAAACTATTTAAGTTGGTAAGTTCATGATATTCAGGCCAGCAGTTACCTTTCCTGGATCATGGGTAGAAATTCCGAACAGCATTTCACCATAGTTTGTGTGATAGAACCATCTGAGGGAGTATATCCTGGCCCTGGCCGGGGACCTACAATTCAGAAAATTTCTAGAGAGCACAAATCCTTCCAATATCTGCATCTTTTGAGAAGCAGCTTGTTGTTATTCATTAGTAAAGTCAGGTCTGACTCTTTGTGACCCCATGAACTGCAGCACACCAGGCTTCCCTATCCTTCACTATATCCCTGAGTTTGCTAGAACTCATGTCCACTGAGTTAGTGATGCCATCCAACTATTTCATCCTCTGTCGCCCTCTTTTCTTACCCTCGGTCTTTCCCAGCTTCAGGGTCTTTTCCAATGAGTTGGCTCTTTGCATCAGGTGGGTGGCCAAGGTATTGAAAAGCAGCATTCCTTGCCAAATAAAGTAGTTCAGCCATTTCAGAGCTGATTTGGCTTTGAAATCATTTTCAGATTTGGCTATGAGCCAAATCCTCTTCTATGGACAAATTTCAGGGGACTTGTCTGTTCCCAAAATATAATATTAGGATACTAGAGACATTTGATACGATCTTAATAGCTTTAAGCACAATTTTTATTATATAAGCAACATATGTCTGGTGCAGCAAGTTAGAAAGTATAGAGAAACACAATGAAGGAAAAGAAAGGTTGCTCAGAAGAATCCATCCAGGCAGAGACAGGGTTCATGCTGTGGCCGTTTTTTTAGACACTCATGGAACTGTATTGTCATATCCTATGAGACCTGGAAGGACCCAGGTCAATAGGAAAGCTCACTCCATGCAGATCAAGAGCACAAAGAAGCACCAAGGGCGCTCTCAACACCCCTCTTCTGTTCTCACGGGGTCGCTGCAGTTTACGCAGGATCTGCCCTGAATGCCTTTCATCCTTTCCCACCTCCTCCCTCCCTCAGGTCCCTGCTCAACCCTTTTTAGCTGAAACTGGTGAGAACCCTTTGTCCAATGAGGTCAGGCCTTCTCAGGGCATTCCCGGCTCCATTCTGGGAGAAGGATGGCAGTGCTTCCCCTCTTTGAAATAGAGTTCCCCTGGACAGAGAATCCTCATGAACTCTTTTGCCCAAACACCCTCTTCCCCAGCAGCAGAGAGGGGAGATGGGGAGAAGATAAAAGAGTGAAGAGGACAAATAACTTCATTCTGTTACATGCATTTTTAAATAAAAATTGCAAAAATAAAACATATTTTGTAAAGGGTTCCCCCCTACAAATTAACATGGCATGAATAATTTCTCCATGTCCTTAAGTCTAGAATCAGAATATTTTTAACCCTTGAAAAACTCATGGAGACCATCTAGCTGACTTACCTTGTTTTACAGATGAAAAGACAGGTCTACCCATAGAGGACACAGACAGGACAGGACAACAACTTTCCTTCGAGAGCCAAGTCAGAGCCCCTCAGCCTCCCCGGAGCCCAAGCTCCTGGTGGAGAACTATCCTGGGTGCCCAGAGCTGTCACCTGCTGACCAACGCCTCCTCCCAACTCACTGAAATCTCAAGAGATGCCCCGATGGACCTCTGTGCCTGAGGCCTTATTTCATGCTACTTTCTAATGGATTCATCTGAGCATGTATCTCAAAATTTTAAATTCAAGGTTTTTTCCTTTCTTTCTTTTTTTTTTAAGGAATAATCTCCAAATTCTTTTACCATGCACCAAAGTTTGGGATAAGGGTTGGTAGCTAGGATGTCAAATTATGCCAAAAGGATTACTACCTACTGAGGCCATACTCTCTGAACATTTTCTGGTTTCTTTTAGTAATCAAGAAAACAGTATAGATCTTAAGAACATAAATCTGGAGTCAGACTGCTTGGATTCAAGCCTTCCTGGCACCTCCTAGTTGTGTTAACTTTGGATGGATTCCTTAACCACTCTTTGCCTCTGTTTTTTCATCTACAATATGAGGACAAGTCTAGTAGTATCTGCCTCTCTTGTTTTGAGAACTAAATGAGTTAACATATGTGAAACTCTTGAAACCACTCTTGCAGGACCTTCCCAGGGACAGACACCCCCCACAGACACCGACATGCCCCCCACCTTTTGTCTGTAGAAAAGATTTATCCTCCTTGGCCTTCCATGAGCTCTAAAGAGCAAATTCAATAAGAGAAGTGAGAAAATGAGGAAAGAAGCCAAGCAAGGCAAAATAATAATACTTTAGCCCTAAAACAAAATCAAGGAGCTTCAGTTCTTCCTCAAGGGCTAAAGATAATATCCTGAGCCATATCCCTGAGTTGTTTTGTAGGTAGTAAGACCGCCACCAGGTAGAAGACACTAACCACGCTGACCACCATCACAGAGACCCCAGATGGGAAACCGAAGGCTGATAATGTTGACTTCTGAAAGACTACTCTGTTACCTCACCACCAACCAGTCAGAAGAATGTTCATGAGCTGCTCACCTCTAATGATGTTTTTAAAAGTCCTTCCCTGAAAGCCACTGGGGAATTTAGGTCTTTGAGCATTATCCACCCATTCTCCTTGTTTGACACTTTGAAATGAATACTACACTTTTCTTTAGCACAACGTGGTGTCAGAAG